GGAATCCCCTCCCGACAAGCTGGTGTACTTACCCAGCTCGCCGAGAGGGGATTCCTCCCCGGCGGTATGGCCTCTCTTGGCACCGGGTATCCCTTGGGATACCCGGATATCCGCCAGGTCTGGGCGGAAAAACGGCCATCCGCAGCCGAATCCGCACCCGCTGGCGGGTATTGGCCAGGGGATAGCGGATATCCGCGGCGGATTAGCCCCGCCCATCTCTAGCGGTGATCGATGTTTATGGAGCTGAATATCTTCGAGAACCCAATGCAGAAGATCTCAAGCGACTCCTTTCGATTGGAGAGCAGAGGGGATTTCCAGGGATGCTTGGATCCCTGGATTGTATGCATTGGGAATCGAAAAATTGCCCATCCGGTTGGGCTGGGCAATTTCAAGGGAAAGAGAAGGTGTGTACAATTTCATCTATGATTCTCTTGTCAATATGTTGATCAATCTGATGATTATTTCAGGTGCCAACAATTGTCTTGGAGGCTATGGCTTTGCAAGAATTGTGGATATGGCACGCTTATTTGGGCCTGCCAGGATTGAATAACAACATTAACGTCTTGGATATGTCGCCTCTCTTCAAAAACCTCCTCAATGGGAAGGCTCCTAAATGCGATGTTTGTTGTAAACGGGCACACATATTGACAAGGATATTATCTTGCCAATGGGATTTACCCAGACTGGGCTACTCTAGTCAAGACAATATCGCAGCCTCAAGGTCTCGAGAGGAAACAATTTCCGAAGATGCAAGGGGCTTGTCGTAAAGATGTCGAAAGAACATTCGGTGTACTACAATCTTGATTTGCAATTGTTTCACAACCGGCTCGAGGATGGAGACACGGAAACTTGCAGGTGATCATGAAAGCGTGTGTCATCCTCCACAACATGATTGTGGAGGATGAGCGTGGTGTAAACCTTGAGAACTTCTACGAGACTTCGGCAACTGTTTCCGAGGTCAACTTGGAACGGTCAGGCGATAGGAAAAATTTCTCTCAATTTATTTCTAATTTTCGGGTCTTACGATGCCAGGCTACTCATATTACATTGCAGAACGATCTAATCAAGCACCTTTGCATGGGAGCTTAGAGGAAGAGCTGATGAATAAAACTTATTTATTTTCATTTTCAAAAAGACTTGGATATATAATTGAAATGAAAAGCACTTGAAAAATAATCCTTGTTTTAGAGGAGACAATGAGAAGAGAATGTGAGAGAACAGTCAAGGAGGGCAAGTCCGAGAGGAAATAAGAGAAAATGAAAATGTGATTGATCTGTTCAGATCAATGACTGAGGGAGATCAATTGAGGTAGATGTGACTGTACTTGCTTGAGTGTTTGATTGAGTTGCTTGAGTATTGGACAAAGAGGCTCCTGCTTGCTCGCCTTCAGCAGTTGCTCTAGCTCTCTCCACTTGAGCCTCTCTAGATTGTTCTCGGAGCTGGAGCATGATCTGCTCCCTCTGGAGTCAATAGAACTCCTGAGTGACCTCATCGAGTCCAGTGAGGTCTTTATTCATAATTGCTGTGTTGGCCATCATCTGCATCATTTGAGTCTGAGATTGATAGATATCGGTTTGTCTCTTTGATTGGCTTGCGATCTCAGCTTTGAGCTAGTGCCATATCCTTCATAATACGCGCCTTCCTGAGCGGCCTCTCGTACAAGGCTTTGGCCTTTTTTTTTCCACCTTGGTCGTTGGGCTCAGAATTGGAACAGG